AACTTCCTTTTAACGGCAGGAAACCCCCAGCAGAACCAGATATAAAGACAAGACAAACCGATGATGTGGATGAGCCAGAGATTAATAATAATAAAAATATATCTATAACAAATTATAATTAATTATTATAAATTATAATTATAAAAAATAAATAGTGAATGAAAAGGGTGACTAAAAAATCCTCAAGCAGCCTAGACGCACTGCAGCTTAACCAAGGGAGAGTTCAGGGTCACCTGATTCAGCCTTAACTCTATCCCTAATTTATTTCTTATCTCGTTTGAAGCCTAATCTTGAAAGTACAGATAGTGTCTGTCACCCGAATCAAAACTGGCAGCTGGTCCCCCAGAAGAAGGGTTTGAAAACTGAAGGCTCTGCCTCCCATTCTACGTTTAAATACTCCGCAGTGTGATGGGGGTGATATGGTACTATAAGGTCATTGAGGCAAGAAGGGGCCTGATTATTCATGACCTTGAATGTGAGGAACAGGATTTTAAATTTTAAAATTCTGGATTTAACAAACAGCCAATAAAGAGAAGCCAATATAGGCGAAATATGCTCTCGCTTTCTAGTCCCTCTTTTTAATCTTGCTGCATCATTTTGAATCAACTGAGTTTTTAGGGAGTTTTTAGGACATCCTGATAATAAGGCATTACAGTAGCCCAATAATAAATGCATGAACTGTTTTTCCAGCTGTACTTACACTGCTTCTCCTGTGATCTAAACCTCTATAAGTGGCAGAAAAGGAAAGGATGAATGGATACACTGATGCAACCAGATAATTTTGATGTATAACAGCCTTATTTACAAGCTAAACCAGTAAGTACTTTTTAGAAAGAGGCAGTAACACGTTTTCTGCAGAAACAGAGAAACTTTGACATGACTGCTGCATGTACAGGAACTGTTTACATATGAAAACAAAAATGTTGCACTTAGGAGCACATCAAAAAGCTAACAATGGCCAGTGCACACACAACTGTGCAAAGATAGTTTAACCGAATTGACTTATCCTTTTTCATTTCAAAGTGCAGCGGTATTTGTACGTTAGTGCCTGTGAAAGAACAAGCAAAGCCACATGTGGCAGCTGAACTGTGAGATACAGGCTGCGCTAGCTACTTCTCTGCAAACCTGTTTACTCCGAACACACAAGTATTTTGTTATCTACAGGATGTGTAGCCTGTTCACAGTGTTACGACTTTGTCTTTCATGTCGACTTGCTGATTGGGTGCAGGCACTACCCACAGCTAGGTTACGGTTACAAAAAGATCAAATACAATAGTTTAGCGCAAAAGAAGTGGACAGTCCTCTCTCACGTATGCCTTAATAAATGTGTGTCACAGCACACATGCAACCTGCCACACATAGCACACAAGGACACTTTGTATGCAACTGTCTGCACCAGTAGCTTTCAGAATATGATATTAAATGGCACCCTAGCCTTCCTCTCTCATAGATTCTCAAACCCATTAATTAGGGCAAGCACAATTCAGTTATGAGTACAAAACAGGAAGTGATGCTTTATATAAATTTAGAGTTTTTGGAAATCCTGATATGGTTTGCAAACAATAACCCCCATGCACAGACACTAAAAATCAAAGGAGAAAAAAATCCTGTGTGGATTCAAACCAGGCAGCCTCATCACTGCTGAATTTTCCATGCATCATTTGTTTCGCACAGCTTGTGAAACAAAAAGCAAGGAATCAGCCACAAATTACTTTTGTATTAGTTACTTGT